CGAGTTACTTCTCATGTAAAAGTTGTACAGTAGAATGTAGGGAAACGAGTTACTTCTCATGTAAAAGTTGTACAGTAGAATGTAGGGAAACAAGTTGCTTCTCATGTAAAAGTTGTACAGTAGAATGTAGGGAAACGAGTTACTTCTCATATAAAAGTTGTACAGTAGAATGTAGGGAAACAAGTTACTTCCCATGTAAAAGTTGTACAGTAGAATGTATGGAAACGAGTTACTTCCCATGTAAAAGTTGTACAGTAGAATGTAGGGAAACGAGTTACTTCCCATGTAAAAGTTGTACAGTAGAATGTAGGGAAACGAGTTACTTCTCATGTAAAAGTTGTACAGTGGAATGTAGGGAAATGGGTTACTTCCCATATAAGTTGTACAGTGGAATGTAAGGAAATGGGTTACTTCTGATGTAAAAGTTGTACAGTATAATGTAGGGAAATGGGTTACTTCCCATATAAGTTGTACAGTGGAATGTACGGAAATGGGTTACTTCCCATATAAGTTGTACAGTGGAATGTAGGGAAACGAGTTACTTCTCATGTAAAAGTTGTACAGTAGAATGTAGGGAAACAAGTTGCTTCTCATGTAAAAATTGTACAGTAGAATGTAGGGAAACGAGTTACTTCTTTACACAACACAGGAATTTTGCTGTTGATTAATGAAGCAAAAATAATCCTATCTTTATAAAAACAAACAATATCACCTTGTATTTGATAAAATGATAAGATACTTAATATTTTAAGTTATAAAATGATAAAACTTCTTAAGAAAACAGAAAATTGTCAGATACAAAAATTAGTTCTGTGTTCTCATGCTACTGAATAAGCAATATTCATAACTCAAAATTAAAAATAAGAATTAGAAGCAAGCACACAAGTGTTAGTTTTGTTTATGGGTATTATAAGATATAAAAAAATCATTATTTTGGTGAAGGTTATCATTTGTATAGCAGGTAATGATGTTAGGAAAATGTGTAGTTTTAAAAAATCAGTTTAACACAAAAGTATAAACCAATATAACCCGAACACTTTCAAAAGGTGGACCTTTCTTCATCGGGGCAGTTATTTTTTTCATTATTGCATCATTAAGTTATCATACTGTATGAATACAAAACCCTATAACCCAATCAGTTTGGAAAGGTGGGCCTTCTTCATCGGGGCAGTTATTTTTTTCATTATTGGATCACTGATGGTTTACTGTACATGTAGCCACTTTTCCTCAATTCAAGATAAACCATGTTTCAAAGGTTTTCTTTACTTCTGATAATTAAATATTTTTAGTTACATCAGGGAATTTTCTACCCCTTAACTGCACTCAAGTTATAAATGGTTAATACAGAATACTTTAGTAGAGATACTAACCATTTCGCTATGTTGACACAATTTGTATCTGCATTCTTCCACTTCTGCAGATCTCTTAGTTAGAGCTTTCTGCACGTTGTCAGCCTGGTTCCGCATATCTTGAGAAGTATCCTGCAATAGCTGATCAATAAGAGTTCGAAGTGATGAGGACTCATACATTTCTGTAGTCGCCTTATGTATGTTTTCTTCGGTATGTTCTTTCCATGTCTCAGGAGTGGAAAACCTGAAGTGAGTGACATGACTTGCATACAAGTTATTTGCTTACTGTCTATCATATTAAATATACTTAAATACTTCACATGTACCTTATTTACTTACTGTATTGGCCCGGCATGGCTAGGTGGTTAGGGCACTCGACTCGCAATCTGAGGGTCACAGGTTCAAATCCCCGTCCCACTAAACATGATCACCCTTTCAGCCATGGGGGAATTATAAAGTGATGGTCAATCTCACTATTCGTTGATAAAAGAGTAGCCCATGAGTTGGCAGTGGGTGGTGATGACTAACTGCCTTTCCTCTAGTCTTACACCGCTAAATTAGGGATGGCTAGTGCAGATAGCCTCATGTAGCTTTGCATGAAATTCAAAACAAACAAACAAACTTACTGTATCACATGAAAGGAGGCAGTATGAGCCAAATAACATAGCAGGGAATGAATTGAACAAAGTAGCTGATCTGGATCTGAACGGGAGTACAGGTGGGAATTGGAAGGTAAGGAAATAGGAGAAAAGGCTAAAAAACTGCCAGAGCAGCCGATGTCCTGGGAAAGAAGGGCCACTCTAGATAGTGGATAACATACAAATAAAGGTAAAGGATGTGGGAAACATTAATGGTATAAATATCGGAAAGATGATGACTGTATACCAGGAAGGGGAGGAAATAGGCCTTAAGGGAAAGATGGTACATGGAAAATGTTGCAATTGGTTAAAAGGGAGAACCAGACAGTGCATGAAGAACAACAATGAGATCCCAATAGGGTAGAACAAAGGGACATGGCTAATGAACCAGACAAAAGGAACAACAAAGGAGGGAAATAGAGAAGGATTTCCAGAAGGGGGAAATCGGAAAGTGTTTGACAGGCCAGCTCTATAAAGAGCAACAGTTGAAACAGACAAACCCTTAATAAACAATAAGGTGAAGAACTGGGACAGGTGAGGAACAGAAGGACAGGATGGTCAGAAGCCATGGTCGATAGACCAAAGTCTGAAGTAAGACCAATGCCTCTGGTACATAGACAAGGGGAAAGGATGAATGGTACAGGCAAGGAAAGACACTACACAAGGGGTGAGTTCTTGAGCCAAGGCAAAAGACCAGACAAAAGCCACATGTGAAGATGGAGTCTGATGACATTGGGATGAAAAAGCCCCTCCTCCCCAACCCACCAATGAAGACTCAGGAGGAGGTGGAGGAATGGGAACCCCCACTGTTTTCAAGTCCCTGTCAAGCCACAAAGCAAGGTAGGCCATGATCCCAGGTGGAAGGGGGATGAGATGGGATGGTCCAAGGGATCATGGGAGAAATTCCACTGGTCAAGAAGCATCCAATGAAGAGAATGCATGTGTGCTGACCCAAGGGAATGAGAGCTTCCAAGGAAACCCACATACACAAAAGAGACAGGACCTCTCACAGAGAGAGAGAGAGAAGGAGAAGGTAGGGCCTTCACGACTACCCACTCCATGTCTCGGAGCCAAAGAGGAGAAGGCTGGGCCCAACACAGATGGGAATTGAAGAGAAACCCCAAATGAATAAGATACTGTAGGAGGGGTAGTAAAGGTAGTAAAGTAAAGTATACTTGAATATTTACATGATTGTACTTGTACCTTATTTACTTACTGTATCATGTTAAGTATACTTAAGTATTCACATGATTGTACTTGTACCTTATTTACTTACTGTATCATATTAAGTATATTCAAATATTTCACATAATGTACATGTACTATATTTACTTATTCTATATCATACTAAGTATATTTAAATATTTCACATAATGTACATGTACTATATTTACTTATTCTATATCATACTAAGTATATTTAAATATTTCACATAATGTACATGTACTATATTTACTTATTCTATATCATACTAAGTATATTTAAATATTTCACATAATGTACATGTACTATATTTACTTATTCTATATCATATTAAGTATATTTAAATACTAGCTGGAGTACCTGTCCCCTGGACGGAAGTTATGTAAATTCGTGATTAATGAAAGGTATTCTTAGGACATTAAAATATTGCTTCCCTTATATTTAATTGTAAAAAATGCAAAAACGCCCACAAAAACCTCAAAACGCAAAAATGCAAAACTGAAAATTTGTATGTACCCCCCTTGTACATGTACCTTATTTACTTAATGTATCATATTAAGTATATTTATATATTTGACATGATTACATTCAAATAGAAAATTCAGTATACTAAACAATTTTGATAGTTTAGTTAACAAGCATGGGACAGTTAAATTAGATTCGATCAAGATTAGTCACAAAAGTGACAAAGTTAACGATTTCACACAAGAAATGAGATTTACAAAATAAAAATCACTCAAATCTGTAGAAGAGAAAAACAATGAATTGGTAAAATTAGGCCAAACGATAACAGGAAGTATACTTTCAAAAATATATATATACAAAGAAACTAACTACATATTTACAAGAAAATAATGCAGAAACAATATAACATCTATATAGATATAATAGTACTGTCTGTTGTATGTCCATGTAACTACTTCACAGGGTGTAGATGGATCTTCACCAAAATTAGTTAGGAGATTCATTTGGTCCATGTGGGGGTACATACAAATTTTCAGCTTTCAATTTAGCATTTTGTGGTTTTTATGGGTGTTTTTGCATTTTTTTACCACTACTTTGCCCACTGTAGATTCATCTTCACCAAATTTGGTATGGAGGTTCGTTGGGTCCATGGGGAGATATATGCAAATTTGTAGTTTCACATTTTGTGTTTTGCTATTTTTCTGGACATTTTTTACAATTACATATAAAGAAAGCAACTTTTCATGTCCTAAGACAACCTTTCATTAATCATGAATTCACATAACTTCCATCCAGGGGACAGGTACTCCAGCTAGTTAAACAATAAAAGCATAAAAAATTTTAACCAGCAGCCTTTACCACAGTGCAATCATTCAACAAAAAGCAACTGTAACAAACTGTAGGAACAACTAATATAAATCATTTTTAAAAGACACAAGTTGAATATTTTGATCAATAGATACAATGATTTATAGCTTGTATTCCATGATGATATGTTTTACCTTTAAGTTAAATATTTTGATCAATAGATACAATGATTTATAGCTTGTATTCTACATGATATGTTTTACCTTTAAGTTAAATATTTTGATCAATAGATACAATGATTTATAGCTTGTATTCTACATGATATGTTTTACCTTTAAGTTAAATATTTTGATCAATAGATACAATGATTTATAGCTTGTATTCTACATGATATGTTTTACCTTTAAGTTAAATATTTTGATCAATAGATACAAT